ACTGTAAAATATTTCCAGAGGAATACAATCTTCATTCATACAGCAGGCAAAGTACCAGAGAGGAAAGGGCCACGTGTGTCTGTTCAGTTTGCCTTGCAAAGCAGGTTTGTACAGCTAATGTCTTCCCAACAGTCTAAACATGATCCCCACTTCTGGGACAGGTCTTCTGTTTTCTTTCCACTTAGAATCACTTCTTCAAAAGTAAAAAGACAATTGTATAGAGCTTCTTGCTCCATGGGTACAGTGCTGAGACCATTTGGTTTTCCCACTGTCTTTTGGCTAACAGCACTTCCTATGCTCTGGGTTCACTTGTCCTTTAGAAACACAAATACTCAACTTTGGTTCCACCAAAAGATGTGACAAGCATTGACTGCTCTGGTTGGCTCCCCCCTCCCCCCACTAATGAATGGCTGCTAACAGTCTATTTTACATGGTTGTCCATGCTGCTTTGAGGTCACTTGTCCTTGGGTTCTCCCAAACCTGATTTTAATTGGATGCCCAAGCCCTTTCAATGTGAAGTCTTTCTGCAGGTTGTAAATGCTCAGTGGCCGCTGTATCTTACAAGAGAACAAGAGTAAGTGAGAGGAGAACAAGTACCTGGGAGGAGACAAAAGCGTGGAGTAACAGCCTGAGCATCATATAAGCAGATTATTTAAAAATACTTAATGAACTATATCATTAAAAGAAGACATTTTAACAGTTTCAATGCATTTTAAAATGTAAATATGAAAGCATCTTGTTACATATTTGGTTGCTGTCTCAAATTCTGCATCTTTGATGACATCAAACCAAACTAAAACTATTCAATCAGAGTGGGCTGGTTTCTATACCTTCTTTATAACAAGGCCATTGGGCTGGCTCTAGAAGCTTTGGTTTGTTGTTGGGCAAATGTTAAGACAATTCATGGGCAGACAGAATTCCATCCTCTGCTGGCCTTGCTGGCTTTACTTGGATGACCCAGGTTACATTTTTCATTTATTTATTTTTAATACAATCAGGGCATCATGGAAACTGCATAAGTTGACTAGAGATTTTGTGATTCAAAATTAATAAGGCATTGGTGGCTGCAATTCTAGCTACTGAGGAGTCTAAGATCTAGAAGGTTTAGAGATTAAAAATTCAGGCACAATGTCCAAAAGACTCAGTCTCATAACGAACAAACAAGAAAAGAAACAAAGCAAACAGCAGGGCTGGAGGTATGGCTCAGATTGTACTGTCAGCCTCCACACAAGCAACTCAAGTACAAACTCTGGTACTGGCAAGAGGGAAAAAAGAAGTGCTTTCTACTGTAGTATCTTTGAAAGACTGGTCAGTGAATAAGTCAAAGATAATGACAGGAATCATTCTGGAGTTAAAAATGGGTCCAGAACAATGGATAATTCACAAATCAATGAATAATTCATACTCACACTATTTCAGAATATATTCTGTAATTTAAATACATTCTGAAATATTTAAAATTGTCTAGCTGGGCACCAGTGGCTCATGCCTGTAATCCTAGCTACTCAGGAGGCTGAGATCTGAGGATCATGGTTCAAAGCCAGCCCAGAGAGGAAAGTCTGTGAAACTCTTATCTCCAATTAACCACCAGAAAACCAGAAGTGGCACTCTGGCTCAAGTCGTAGAGCTCTTGCCTTGAGCTGAAGAGCTGAGAGGCAGCACCCAGGCCCACAGTTCAAGCCCCACAACCAACAGCAACAACAAGAAGTTCTTTCCATTGTACTCATAAGCTCACAATGCAACAATTCACACAGTTGTACGCTATCTAATCTAATAATAATAGGTGGTTGTGTGAAGATAAGTAAACCATCTACATTTTATACAGCTGGTTGCTAAACAAATAGAATTCGTTGCCCCAAAGGGGACTGCTTAAATTGAAGAAAGGTTTAGATAAATCCATGGATAGTGAATACGTAAGGATTTATCAAGAGCAAGCTAAGAGTATTCAGTGTATATGACTAAATTTTGAGGTTGATATTATTCAGAGAAGCTATTTGGCTTTGTGGTAGAATTATAGTTAGTATCCTGGCCCAGATGGACCTGTATTTTGATTTAACATGGAATTTCTTATGTTCTAGTATAGGACAAAAAAAGATCTGTAGAGTAGTGATATGTGGCAGTACTTGCTCTTCTTATTAAGTGGATTGCCTGTGGTTTTGAAAAGCTTCCTCTCCTTAATAGTCATATTGGAATCTATTGGGTGGCAAGCACACAGCATACTACCTTAAGGGTCACTCTTGCCTAAGACATTAATGCATCAGTCCCTAATTTGGAAACCTGTGGTCACTGAACAAGACAGAATTTGTTTCTTTCCCGTGTTGTAATGATTTTTGTTTTGTAATCTCTCTTGGGGTAACTCCTTACAGGCTTGGCATGTGGCAGAACCAGAGACTGCCTCTAACAATATGGTCGTGATTCTCTGCTTGGCTGATTTAGCTAAGCATTTAAGTAACCACTAATCTTCTGAAAGCACCAGGGTCTACTTAGAGAAATCCCTGTTGTCTGCAAGGATGGAAACAAAATCAGCATGGAGGAAGCATTAGTTACTAAACACAAATCAATCTGTTTTTCTTTTTTTTCCCCACCTAGCCACGAGCTATGTCACTATTAGAGGTGTGGTTTCAGGGCATGGAGTCTTCTTTTTATAGGTGTAAGATGGTCTCCTCTGTGACAAGCAGGAAGAAGAGATGGGAAGTGGAAAGAATGGCAGTTTATTGAAGTACCTATATATAAATCAACCTAGATTCTAATGGATGAACTTCACAAATGCTAAATAAAAGATATCAGATACAAGAAAACATTCTAGCCGGGCGCCAGTGACTCATGCCTGTAATCCTAGCTACTCAGGAGGCTGAGATCTGAGGATCATAGTTCAAAGCCAGCCGGGGCAGGAAAGTCCATGAGACTCTTATCTCCAATAAACCACTCAAAAACTGGAAGTGGCGATGTGGCTCAAGTGGTGGAGTGCTCGCCTTGAGCTGAAGAGTGCAGAGACAGCGCCCAAGCCCAGAGTTCAGGTCTCACAACCGACAAAAAAGAAGGAAGAAAAAAGAAAACATTCTATATAATGTCCTTTACATGAAGTTCAAAAAAGCAGATAAAATGGACCTGTATTGGGAGAAGGGAGTGGGAGAAGTTGGAGGGAACATGAGGTTGTTAGTGATGGTTATAAGCCTAAATGAGTTTATCTTGTGACAATTTACTTCATTTTTGACTTGCAGATTTCATGATTTGTATAACTTTATGACTTGCAGAATTTATGGAACACACATTATACTTCAACAAAAAAGGTTACTTTAAAGCCCAGGCTAATACTTTCTCTTTGACTTGAAAGAAAAATATTTATTTGCCGCTTTCACCTATTATGCATGTGGAGTTTATCAGAATTAACACTTGACCTGATTATCTTGAATTAAATCAGAATGTTCTAAAATTTTCACATTACTGGTGCCAACTTGGTTCCATTACAATGTAAAAGAGATTGTCCAAGGTCAACTTCAGACCTAGTAATAATACTTTAAAATATAGATCAGAACCAAACTCATAGGAATGTTTCTGTTTCACTTTGTGGAGATGGAAACTGAATGACTTACTCTCTGCGCATCTCTGCTACAGAAGCATCTACTCACTGAGGACAAGAATTCCACACCTTTGGAGCAGTCAGGCACTTCATCTAAACCTAGGATCCCTAAGATCTCTGTTTAGAACACAGACTCAAAATGTTACACCTGTTTCTTTGTGCTTTAGTTCTCTGTGTGCAAACTTAAAAGAGAGTGTATGAGTAGAAGACTGTTTTGGAAAGTGTTTTGAATGTCTGATGAAATGTGACCTAATTATCATGATTGAAGGCAAATATTGAAAAATATCATTAATAATGAGGCAAGAAGTAAGACTGTCATCTACACATGATAGAGAAGATGTGACATGCAGGAGAAATGTGTGAAGTAAAGAAGAGGAACCAGAAGCCTACAGTGTAAAGATTTTGCCAATAAATTCTGTTGGGTTGAAAATTCCAGAGGGACTGAGAAGAATTATACTGATGAGACTAAGTCATATTGGTTATAATCCTAGTTGGCCTTTAGCAGTAACAAGTTCTACCTCTAGCATGTAATCTTGTTTCTTGATTTAGCAATTCCAATTGTTAGGCCATGTCTTTGCCATAGAATCAAAGGATTGCTTTTGAAAATGAATGAGCACGTTCTGAATATAGACATTAAATGCTCACTGTCTGCTTTCCCTTAAGAGTCCAACATGGGGCTGGGAATGTGGCCTAATGGTAGAGTGCTTGTCTAGCATGCATGAAGCTCTGGGTTGGATTCCTCAGTACCACATACACAAAAAAAGCCACAAATGACACTGTGACTCAACTGGTAGAGAGCTAGCCTTGAGCTGAAGAGCCTAGGAACAGCTCCCAGGCCCAGAGTTCAAGCTCTATGACTGACAAAAAAAAATTGTCCAACGTATTTGCCTTTTAAATTGTTGCCTGGTATGTGACCTTGAACTAGTTTCAACTGAGGAACTCGTTACTGGTTTAGGTGAAGAATAAATTATTATTCCTGAAACAGAAGGGTTCCAAGGTCCAAAGTGCCCCTCAAACATTCATATCATCATCTATAGTAATTCATTGAAAGTCAGGTCTGTAGAAGACTTTGGAAGCAAAGGAGAAATACCATAAGCATTATAGTGACATTATAGTGACAATAACAAGAGTGTCAGAATCTTCAAAGATCAGAAAACCTCAAAACAGAACAAAGGTCACTTTTGTAGATTTGAATGGAGAATTTTCTTAGTTTTAGGAATTTTCCATGGAATTTGTAAGAAGGAATTAGCCATCCATTTAGGAAGTCCCATTCCCAGGTATAGCAAAGTTTACTGCTAAACACAAACACAGGACAGAACTTTACCAATCCCTTGGCTATTTCAAATATATCACTAAAAGCAGACAGCCAGAAATAACATGGATTCTTAACAAAACTTCTTTTCTCTGGAGATCTTACCTTTTAGCTTTTGCTGAGATGGGCACCAAGCTTCTCTTTCCTAATCAAGCTTGCTGCATATGGGATCTGTAAGGCAGACACAAACAAAACTATTTGGGTTAATCTTGGAGATAAATGTGTAATGGAGATCCTTTCTCGTGCCTGGCAATTTGAATGACAAGGCATCTTCCATGAGGAGAAGAGGGATCCATTTGCTCTGGACTGCTCAGGTGCTCAACATTGCTAAAGCCTGATCTAAAACACACTGATGACAGAAGTAGTGATCACACTGGTGATTGTTACAGCTGGTCCCTGAGGCAAACATGTGATCTTCTACTTTAAAAAGTTGCCTTCAAAAATGTTACCTCTAAGAGTATGGTATTCTTCTTTTTTTATTTAAATATGAAAGTGAATTATAATGTCTCTCGAGTCACAAAGCATGAATGCTGTTACAAACTGGTTCAATGTGATCATTAGGTTTATTACAGTGATTTCCTTACCAAATAGGCTATCCTTATAAATTACAACTCGTAATAATAAGTATAAACTAGTACTTTGGATAGTTTCCTAGTAGCTGATAAGAAACATCAGAAATAATAGCACTATATGAAAATTAGGGCACAAAACTTTTATGCAAATAAACTTGAAAATACTTTTGTATACTGAGACTGTAAACAAAGCCTATCACATCTGATATACTTTTCATTAGGAAATTCATATGACTCAAAATGAGTTCGACATATTATTTAGCTTTGCTTCTCCACAATCTCCAGTTAAGGCTTTCCTCAATCATTATGTCACCTACCAGCGTCATTACAAGGCTAAACTCAGAACTATAATGATTTGGATCTATTTTACATTAAAAGAAACAAATACTCAGACTTTTAGAATATATCATGTTACATAAAACAGTAAGGGAAATTAAAATGATTTTCATTCACTTAGGCAGTAACTTCAATTGCTGTTATATACATTTATACATTACTAGCATGTCAATGGGAGTATGTTTTATTCTTTAATCCACCAGTCCACACATGCAAACCTTTAGTAATAGGACAAGGCTATGAATTCACAATGATGTTGGTGATTAAAAGGATCTACACCATTTTACAATCATAACAGGTAAGTCTAATCCAACACTTTTTAATGGAAAGAAAAAAGATAAAAATAATCATATCCTTATTTTGATACACAACCACAAGCTACGCATAGGCACATATCTGATAAAGGGCATAAGTAGAAGCCTTGAAATTAATGATTCATATAGTAACATAAAAAGTTCAGTATCCTAATCTCTTATTTTCAGACGTGGGCTGAGATCAGCTAGATAACTATGACAAGAACACCTACATGGGATCCTACTCTAATTACCTCTTCTTTTCACTGTAGGTTATGCTACACCTGCTATTCAAAGAGACACCCTTGAATCTTGGTTTCCATTGTGTTGTATACTGCAATACATCAAAGCACAAAGGTCACCTCTCTTGTTAAATGCCTAATTTACCAGTCTCAAATGAAATGCTGTTAGATGAGAAGAAATGATTTTAGAAAACAACTATGGGGCACACTGAGTTTCCAGAGTTGTTTGTGACATTTTTACATTAGTGTCTGTTCTGTGCCAAGTACTGGGAGATGTAAATTAACATCACTAGTGCAAGTAAACAGCAGACACTAACTCAAAAAAATGACTGGAAGATCACTGCTTTCAGAGCTAAGTCAAGATGCCTTTCTCTCTTTTGCAGGAAGAATTTCATTAGGATAGATAGTTGAGAAGGAAGAGGAAAAAAGACATTTCCAAGTAAGCACATTTGAATCCCATTGCTCAGCTAGAATTTAAATTGCTGTGAAGAATTATCCCCACATGAACTCTGATTCTGGTTTTACTTATTTAAATGAAAATAAAAGACAAGCCAAACAACAATAAAGACAATAAAAGTTACCAGCTGAGCATCACGTACTTTTAATCAGAAGTCCTAAATCATGAATAATACAAGTTATTTTATCCCAAGGACTCACTGGTTCATAAAAACTACATGACTTCATTGATTGCAAGACATGCTTCACCATATTTTAAATTCTTAATATTGCATGTATTATAATTGGTGGTATCTTACTGTTAAAAGTTTTTCTCTTCATGATTCATGAAGCAAAGGTGTCTCCTAATCAGATAGTATTTTGGAATCCATAAAATATAAAACCGGATTTCTAGATATGACAGCAAACATTCTCGACCAGGAAACTTGGGATTCTCAAGGCTTCATTTAAGCTAGTTGTTCCACAGAAATCTCTTACAACAGGTTTATGGAAGCTTCCTATTCATTTGGGACAGTTTGGAAACCATCAAGATGGTTGTTGACCCCGAATTGGAAGTGTATAACGTCAAAATGACCCAGTGGACTATAACAGACCGCAATTATTGGGACCTTACTAAAAAAAAAAAGATAATTTCCTTCTTTGTGCTAAGAAAGAGCCTGAGTTCGGGCACTCAAGTGAGTCACCATCTCAAAGTGAGATGAAGGTTATAATGCTTAGGAACACCTGAGTGCACTGTCAAGATGGAGGGCACTAGATCAGTGACTAGGAAAAGATGCGCAGTAGCCAAGGTCTGTTGCTGGAGAATTTTCAGAAGGCATCTTCAGAAGTTCAGATTTGCATCAAGTCTAGGGACTTCCTTTTGATGCACACTAAGTCACAAAACCAACATCCTCCAGTGATCCAGGAATCTTTTTCCGATTATATAGCAGCAAAAAGCAAAATTCTGTCTATTAAGAAAAGGGGAGTAGGAGAGCAATATATTTAAAAGAAGTGTCTAGGTTGAGCCACAGAAACCCAGGCAAGTTTCAATGCTATTGAATACTGGAGCACTTCCAAAGAAAAGACATTACCACTGTGGAACTGTGTCCTTGCCCAAGAGCAAGTGCTTGCCAACAAAGACAAGGACCCATTGCTCCTTTCCCTGTGATGAAGTATTGTGCTACCACCATTGGGAAGAGGTAAACGGCTTTTTTACAAGTCCACAGTGGATGAAACATTAGTACTAAATCCACTGATTGAACATTATTTCAATTGAAGCTTTTAATGAAGAACTTTGAGGCTGTTTCTCCATAACTGCATGTGACTGTAGCATTCTGTGAAAACAGCAGAGGGCACTTTAAGACCAGCACAATCTACCTGCTTCATGGTACCTATAAAGCAAGCTTGAAGGATGTCAGTCTGAGTGGCTCATATGCTATGTAATTTTTTTACACTGTCCTTCAAGAACTAGGATTTAAAAACAGAGGAAAAAGAAAGAAAAGACACTAAAAAACCATAATTCAACAAATTGCAATAACTTATACACAGATATACATGCATAAAAATTATTGCCAAATTAGCAATTTGAAAAATAGACTATATATATATATATATATATATATATATATATATTTAAAAGATTATCAAGCAATCTAATGGTCTCGGTTCAGGTTGTATTTGAATATATTCATGCTCCTAGAATAACTAATAAAAAGGTTATTCACTGAGTGAAGTATCTTCTGCTTTTTTCTAATCTTAAGGGACAATGGATTTTAGTTTTTAAATTGAAGGTATGTTTCCTACAATCACAATCCATTTGGAAATGAGAAGTCCTCTGTCCTTTATTATACAGAATATTTACATTTTCATGAACTTGCTAAATTTTAAATCTGTTTAGTTCTTAGTGAGAATAATAGATTTCTTTGTTTTGTATAAATAAATCCAGTTTAGTAAAGAAAATGCTTTAAGTCTTCAAAAACTCAGAGCATGAAATATGAAAGGTCTTAGATGCAGACAGTCAAATACTACAAAGCTCAAAATTTAAACCAGTATTTAGAAGAGATAACTTGTAACCATGTATAAAAGTTACATAAATTAACTGTATATATGATTTAAATCTCACATTGCTATGCATATACATCCATTTATAAATGTACAAGGACAGCCAATCATTTGCCTGTATAGTTATCAAAACTTTGCAGTTAACAAACTGGAAAATGAAGCACTGGTGGAGAAATCAGTCAGCAGAGAATCTAAAAATGTAGGATCCAAAGAAATTCATAAGTTTTCTTTTTTTATGGTAATGATACCCAGGATGCTTTTGATATAAGTCTTTTGAACAGGAACACTGTGTAACAAAATAGCATAAATGCACTGTGGGTCTATGGGAATCATTACAAAATATGATGGCTTTAATATATTTGAATTCTTCATGATTACAAGGTAAGCTAGGTTTATATTTCATCTAAAGAAAAAATAGGGCTATTCTATAATATGTGCTCTGTAAAGTTTAAATATAAAATCATTTTAAATGGATTATTCTTCTCTCAGGAAGGAAACTATGCAATCCTATTTACTGGTGAATATGCTCATTCAACTAAATATTCAGAAAGATTTGCAACTCCATTTAATAATCTCTAGGTAGAATTTTCTAGTCAGGTACTTGGAGGATTGAGGTTCAACTTCATGCAGGCAGAAAAGACTATGAGATTCTATCTTCAAAATAATCAGCAAAAAGCTGGGCTGGAGGTGTGGCTCAAGTGCTAGAACACCAGCTGAGCAGACAAGCCAAATGAGTGAGAGGTTCTGAGCTTAAACCCCAGTACTGGTAGAAGAGGATTTTTTAAAAAGATAACTCCTTCCAGGTCATTTAGGACATACATAAAGCTGAATATGGAACTAGATAAATTACTGTTCAAGTAATATTGAGTCTGTTGACTCATTTCTATAGCAGGCACATAGAAAATATAAATCTTGGGCTGGGAAGGTGGCTCAGTGGTAGAGCACTTGCCTTGTATGCATGAGACCCTGGGTTCAATTCCCCAGCACCACATAAGCAAAAAGGAAAAAAGCCAGAAGTGGCGCTGTGGCTCAAGTGGTAGAGCGCTAGCCTTGAGCTGAAGAGCTGAGGGACAACACCCAGGCCCAGAGTTCAGGCTCATGACTGGACCCAAAAACAAAACAAACAGAAAATATGAATATTTCCTAAACAAAAACAACACTGGCTATTAAGGCTTATTAATTCCACTATTAGAGATACTCCTTTGATAAGGGCAATGACATTCAACTGATCACTCATGCTGGCATTACCCTACGGTTGGCACGTGCAGTTCATGTTTATTATGTGCATGTACCTTTCAATAGCCCTGTCAGGTTAAGCCTTACAATCCTTCCTTTTTAAGGGAACCGACATTTCCATGAACTGAAAGGATGAGTCTTGAGCCCAAGTGTGCAGACTTTAAAGCTCATGCCTGTTAGTGGCAGACTGAGCAGTAGTTGTACCTAAGCTTTGTGTTAATTCACTAGTATGCTTTCCTGTATTAGGTGTTTAAGGTATAAAAAAGAACATTTGAGGGCATCAGGACCAAGCCAAGAGAATTTGGTAAAGAATTAAGAGGACTGCTATCTGTTTATCAGAGCTGGGTCAGTGGGAGTTATAGATGGTGATATATTCAATAAGCATAGGCTTCTGATTACTTAGTACCAGGGTTGGTATTAGGTGCTGGAGGCAGGGTGATGTTCTGGGTCTTCTTGTGGTAGCAGTCCCAAGGGAAGCAGAGGAAGCAGAAGGGACAAATTATGTCTATTACACCAATTTTTATGTTGTTAGCCTGAATGTATTTTTATGAATATCAGGAATTATATTGTACCTACCAGGCTAGGGGAAATATTCTAGCTTCTTGCAAACTGCTTAATTTGCTACCAGGAATACTTTACTATCTACAGGAATATAAATGAGTAACACTTGTCTAGATTGATGAATACATGATGATAAAATATTTTGCAACACAGTATAATAAAACTGTTTACTCATACCAATTCATATCTTCCAGGGACTAAATATCTCAAAAGTCCTGAGACATTTTCCTCTTCTATAAATACTACCTGCTTGTTACATGAAGGCAATATCGTTTCCTCTTTTACAAAAGAAATAAAATGTTAAAGAAAATTAAGCATTAAAATTACATGTCTGGCCAGGCTCCAGTCCTCATGCCTATAATCCTAGATACTCAAGAGACTAAGCTCTGAGGATCATGGTTAGAAGCCAGCCCAGGCAGGAAAGTCTATGAGACTCTTTCTTCCAATTATCCACCAAAAAAGACAGAAGGGAGCTGTGGCTCAAGTGGTAGAGTAATAGCGTTGAGCAAAAAAGGCTCAGGGACAGAGCCCAGGCCCTAAGTTCAAGCCCCAGGACCATCACAAAAAGAAAAAAAAAATCAAATCTAGCCTTAAGAAGGGATTCTGAAATGAGTATTTAGTTTGCTTCCCAAAAGTCCATTTTGCTATACTTGCTGTCACAATGAAATGATAATTTTTGCTTGCTTTGTATATGGAAATTTTTGTCTCAAAAATATGGAAACGATGCCCTGTGTAAAATAAGTAATTTTTGCCCTCTGCCTCCAATCTTACATTTAATTTCTTCCTTTGGAGGAGGAAAACAATATATATATATATATATTCACAGCAAGTAAGTATAGCTCATATTATCTAGAAATCAGAAGCTGAGAATAGTAAGATACACATTTCTTTTTAACCCTCTGTGGGAGATTTATTATCAACCCATTAACAAAATCCAGTACTCCCCACTGAATTATAGTTCAAACAACACACACACACACACACACAAAACTAATACATAAATGTAGACTTTGTTGCAGCAGCATACTGTGCAGAGTTTATCAGATCTGGGAGCTATGAGCGCTTGAGCTGCAAATGGCAGTATAGAGTTACAAGCAACTGACCCTTAATATGGGACAGATAATGATGAAATCCAATATTTCTTTTAAAACGACTATCAGGAATCTCTATAAACACAAATATGATTTTTCTAACACAGAAAGGAGACATTGACAACTGTCTTAAATAATCCTGACAGAGAATTAGATGCTTAGCTCTTAGAACAAGATGTGCAGAGACACATGCTTAATAGTCTAAGAATAATAGATATCAGCTCAAACATCTCAAACAACCCAAATTACAGTAATAATGCTGGTAATAATACTAAAGACCAGCATATGTCTTTATCCAGGTGACCAGAAATACCTTGAGAATAATGTGCAGAAACTCTTTTCTCCATTCTACTTAAGAAAATGAGGACGCTTGGGAGATCTATTTAAAAGCACTAACGAATAATGCCAGATGTGTCTATGTGAGGATACAGGGTGAAGAATTCAGGAAACAAAAACTACAAACAAAAGTGCTCCATTAATCAGGTCTCTTTCTGGGAGTATTTCCATATAAATAGAGCACTCAAAGGAAGGAATGGGTAGGATAGACTGACAGACTTTATGCGATAATTGTTTCTTTTTATCATCCTTCAAGTGCCTGTTACTGTTTAATTGTGTGATACTAAGTTCTTTTGACCCTGGAGAGAACCTGGCTGGAGACAGAAGCAGAGTACAGAAGACAGCAACCCTTCCCCCAGCCCCACTGTACCCCAGCACTGTGGTCTGAAGTTTGCAGAATATGAGGAAATGCAGGTATCTTTGGTTGCCCACAGAGACAATGTACACATCTGTCTATTAACACATGGGAGGTAGTTACATTTGGAGGAAACATACTGTCGCATCTGTTTACTTTGTGCCTAAGTAAATCTCTTGGTAATTAGCATCTCAACCAGCTGAGAGGTAAGTGGACCAAAAGATTTCCTGGCAAAAATCACAAACAGTTTCATACAGATTGAGGGAGTTGAAAACAAGTCCATCAAACTGTGTGTTTTTTTTATTTTGAAGCAGAAATGTTGAAGTAGAAACATATCTTACAATTTGTAACTGTTGCACCATTTCTTCTCTGTAGGCTAATTCCCTTTTCATCTGATCCTGAAAGTTATCTGGTAGGAGAGAGAGAGAAAGAAATTTATCAAAGTGCAAAATCTACCTTTAGTATGCAGTTGGCCTAAGGGTCTTGAATTTGTGGCTTCAACCAATCTTAGATGGAAATATTTTTTTAATTGCATCTGTTCTGAACATCTATATTTTTTTCTTGCCATTATTTCCTAAACAATATGGTATAACAACTGTTTACATTGCATTAGGGCAATATTGTAAGTACTGTAGAGGTGATTTAAGATATATCGGAGGATGTATTATGTGATATGCAAGTGCTACAGTGTTTTATATTAGGGGCATTAGCTTATCCACCTCCTCATGAATGGTATTAGAAAACTCCTACAGAGATTCCTCTATGCTTTTATTCTGATATGGTTTTTACAAAATGGGGGTTTCTCCTTTTCATTGGAGTGAATTTAAGTCTGTCTGCTAGCCCCATGGGCCCCTCACATTTAGTTACAAAATACCATGTACATATGCTATTTTCATCTGTGCACAATTGACTATCTCTTTGTGATGTGTCTGAACCATGCATTACTCAAGACTTGTGACACACACGTACAACTTCCTTGCTTAGTAGAGTATGTTATAGATTAAAAAGGAGAAAATTTTGTCTTTTTTAACAAACATGTTTCATGTATATGGCAATTACAGAGGACGCAAATTAATTCAGACCAAAAGTATGAATAAGCTGGGTGCTGGTGGTTCATGCCTGTAATCCTAGCTACTCAAGAGGCTAAAGATAATGAGGATCAAGGTTTAAAGGCAACCTGGGCAGGAAAGTCCATGAGACTTCTCTCTAATTAAATAGCAAAAAGCCAGAGAAGTGGAGCTGTGGCTCTAGTGGTACAGTACTAGCTTTTAGTGCAAAAGTAAGGCACAGCACTCAGGCCCTGAATTCAAACTCAAGTGCTAACCAAAAAAAAACCCAAAAGAAGGAAACAAAACAAAAACTCCCAAAACAAAACAAGAAACAAAGTAAAGATGAATGTTTCATCTTAATTGTAAATGGTCAGTTGTATCACTATAACATTTTTTAAAAACATAAACATGTTGTACATGTCTCGCGTTGCAAGTTATTGGTTAGTGTAGATTCTTTCAGATGAATATTAATTTAGCTTTTATTAATAGAATAAATTATTACTATAATGGCTTTGGGAAATGCTGATAGAGAACTTAGAGATTCAGTGAAATTTGGACTTATTCTGCTGGGTCTAAAAACAGGGATCCATGAACTCAACTATTAGATAAACCCCAGCTATGGGGACACAAGTCATTCAATGTCTGCTCACTGATGGAAGGAATTGTAAAAAATAATCTCCCTTAAGGTACAATTTTAGAAGTTAGAGAATCCTGGATCCTTTTAAAAAATTGTAAAGCTTCAAATATGTTTTCAATGTTCCTCTTTTCTCAGATCGACAGATATCAAAAGCTATTGACTATGTTCCTTCCTTCAATTTTATTCTAAGGTTCAGAGACATTCTCTGAACCCTGCCAACCCTAAACTTCCCTTGTACTTCCCAAGAGACCATTAAGTGGCAGACCCTACTGCTCCTGTGATTGGTCAGTGCTCCCTTCAATCATGCGTTACTTTTGCACTGAGCCCTTACTCAGTATATATATGAAACCTGATCTGTTTACAAATGATCTTGAGCCTGTTTTTGTTTACTTTTTGAGTTGTGCTGACCAAAACACAGGGAAGCGCTGGTGCAGCATGCAGGTCTCCCTCCTGGCATTTTGGATAGAACTGAAATGGTCAGTTACTGGAAATTCTTCCATATGCTAGTCTGTGGCTCTGGCACAAGAATTGCCAACTCAGGTTTTGAGATGCCCAGATTAATAGCAAAGGGCATGCTGACATTCTAAAAAATATCCCTGGAAAAATTCATTTAACATTTAGATAATGAAAAATGTTTGCGTGCTATTTTCTTTTTCATTTTTCTTTCTCTGAAGATGAGACTAGGATTAAATATACTCCAAAAACCTTGGGGAAATCTCCTAGAATGTATTAATCCAAATGTGACCCAGATTAGACCAAAGAATTTTAGAAACCTTGGTATTACTACAAAGTGTTTTTGAAGTTCTACAATGATGACAGAAAAAAAAGCTGTTAGGCAACAACGTCTGCTCACACATTTGGAGTGGAATTTTAACATGAAAAATGAATTGAGAATGCAAAAATACTAAAATGAAGCCAGGCACCCATGGCTCAAGCCTGTAATCCTAGCTACTCAGGAGGCTGAGATCTGAGGATCATGATTGGAAGGTTGTCCCAGCTGAAGAGTCCCCATGAGACCCTGATCTCCAATTAACCACTCAAAAACTAGAAGTGGAGCTGTGTAAGTGGTAGAATGCTAGCCTTGAGCAGCACAAGGAGGTTTAGGGACTGTGCCCAAGCTCTGGGGTCAAGTTTCACAACTAACAAAAATACTACTAAAATGATACAACTTTAATCATGGTAGCCTCCCTCCCTTTCACTTTCCTCAGTAAATCATGGTGCAAAAATATTAACTGTAAGATTCCATAATACCTTTTATTATAATATGTGCTTACATTTTATTATTAGTTATAGTTGTGCATCTCTTACTGTATCTAATTTGAAAATTAAACTTTATTATAGATATGGGTATATAGGAAGTACATAGAGGATTCAATATTATCTGAAGTTTCAAGTGTCCACAGTGGATCTCAGAATATGTCTCCTAAGGATAAGGAGAAACTACTGTAAATTTGTGTGCCTCGAACAGTTAAAGTTTCAATTTTCATAATTATACTTATCTAAACCCTAAGCCGTGATTCAGACTTATCTGAGAATAAAAGTTAATTGTGATTTCTCTTTTCTTTTCCTATCTTAGAGAATAATACTGAATAATATTTTATTTCAAAATTATAATCTAAATATAATCTGAATATAGTAGTAGACTTACATATGGAATTGTATGCTTATGTACATCTTTTAATACTTACATAACATGTGTATACATACACATACCATACACGTATATCAATACATAAATATAGAAAGTTTTTGTAAGAAATTGTATCTGTGAACCAAATCAAAGCATGCATAAGAAACTAAAATTTATGAATATTTGGACAATCCATGGGAGGTCTGTGAGATTTGTGCTTAATCACTTCATACTTAGAATCATGTACTTGGTATTAGTAATAGGAGTGCCATCAAATATCATAAATGTAATAAAAGTGACTTCTTACTGAATACTGGGAAAGATGTATTTCCTTTTAACACTTGGAATTCTTGTTCTAGTCGTCTCCGTAAATCTATTTGTTCAAATAAAACCTTCTGAAGTTCTTCTAATAGAGAAAAAAGAAGAGTCATTTTACTAATCTTTACAAATAACTCTCCAGAGAACCATTATATATGGCAATTTATTATTATAAGACAAAATATTTTACCAGTTTAAAAAGAGTTGCATAGACACAGGATAGATTTTGTGCAGAAATCCATGAATATAAATCAATGCAATATATTATTTTAAAGTATTGTATTACAGTGTCATGTATTGATTGATATGTATGCATTAATCTCAATTATATCCACCCAATGGTCCATATATTATTCATATGTTGCTTGTCAAGCTTAAAATATGGCACAGAACAAAAATATCCTCCTATTATCTCCTCAGTCAGAGAGAAGAAATCCTATAGGCATTAAAAGTTTTCTTTACCTTTTCCCATATTTTCTACATCTTTTTTAAGTGAATGAGGTGAATTGGTTTCTTGTGTGTGTTCACCTTTAAAACAAAAACAGAAGAACAATGTTGTTAGTTTCACTGAGGCTGTTTTCTGAAAGTTTTTTTTTTTAAATGTACAAAGAGTTCAGTTAGTATCAACTGAGGTTAGAAGTCTTCAGAACCAGATGTTCTCATTTACTCGTGTACAGTTCCCCAGAACTATGGAAAGAGCAATGAGAAAATGAGAGCAGGGCCTGCCTTGCCTGTGGACAGCAACTTCATGAATGCAGGATTCTGCCGTTATTTATCTTTTCTTCTCACTAGCCACCACTGTCTACCCTTTCTTGACAACAATGGTGATTGCTGGAGTAGGCAGAAGGAGAGGCTGAGCCAGTCAAGATTTCAGGCAGAAATCTTATCAGCATTCTCCTCTTCCTTGAAGTGAAGAAGCCCAGTTTCAACGAGGAGACCCTTAAGATCCCAGACGCAGAAGCCTATAAAAATTTGGAGGTCTCTAAAATGTGGGACAATGGAAAAGAATATGATAGAAGGCCTTGAATTGTCCTTTGGAGAGCAGTAATCAATCTGGAGCGTTTTCTAGTAATTGATGACTTGATTTTCTTTTTCTTTTTTTAAAAATTAACCTTGAATAAAAATAGGAAATCGGTTCTTGATTAGTTTGTAAAATGCTCACTTGTTTCCTTATACTCTCTGGACTACTCACATTGGACCAATAAAAACTATATTGTGGGAGTTAGGGTGGTAACACACACGAACAAGGCTTTCAGTTCAATCCCCAGCACCAAACCCAAAACAAACCTAACAAAAGAGATTTAACTGTACTTTTGCACAAAGTTAGATTGTTATTCTTATCAATTTGGCTTATGTGCCAAGTAAAATGATGGCAAGATAAAAAGCAAGTATTGATGAGGAGTGAGTTGGCGTAATCCAGAAAACCCCTAAATGTACCAAAGAAATCCACTCATTCAGCTAATCAAATAATTATATTTTCAAATTTCAAATAGATTTCCTCAATATCCACATAATTTAATTAAGTTTTCCGCCTTTGTCTAAAGAGTGGTGGTAGTACAGATGAAGGCATTCTGACAAGGTTTTGTGGGTTCTCCCCTCCCTGGTCCCCAGGGGCTAGCCCTCTCCTCTCTGTCCCCAGAGCACCTTGTACAGGTCTTAGGCATAGTGCTCTTTCTTCCCCTTCCTCACCCATTGGGCCTTGTGCTACTTAAAAACAGGAGCTCTGTCTTCACTATGGCTAGTGCCTTAAAGAACTGGACACACAAGAAGACTTCAATGAAGTGTCTTGGGTTGTTACTGAGAGGAACCCCAGGAGGTTGTAAGTTCTAAATTACGGCATAGGCCTAAATTCATCACTTCAATTCTCTCCTCACTATTCATTTCCCTTAGCAAGAAATGGAATGTAATGGCCCCAGGCACTTGTAGGAATACTGGGAGATTTCATTGTCAAGGTAAAAATTTCTATAAAGAGGGAAACAGAATTTTTCCTAAAGCAGCAACCTATACTACGGTGTCATAGACAGGAAAATCCTCAACATGAAATTGCAAATGGTAATTCTATATTTTACCTAATGGCTGTCAGGACTATGTGTATGCACATGCATGTGTGTATGTAAAAACATATGTGTATATAGACATATATGCACATATGCAAATGCATAGTTACAGATATATTGGCAGCCCTATGTTCTCAGATGGCAACCATTTTCTCTAATAGATAGCATTCATTTCCACTCTTCCTGGCCATGACCTCTCTATATAGGCTCTGGCACTTTTTTTTGGGGGGGGGGGTCGGTCATGGCCTGAACTCTGGGCCTGGGCGCTGTCTCTTCAGCTCAAGGGTAATGCTCTACCACTTGAGCCACAGCACCACTTCCGGCTTTTTCTGCTTATGTGGTGCTGAGGAATTGAACCCAGGGCCTCATGCATGCAAGGCAAGCACTCTACCACTGAGCCATCTTCCCAGCTTGGCTCTGGCCCGCTTGAATCTTGACATTGTATCTTTCTTTTCCATATAATAAGAAAATAATGAGGAAATATTTGTGAAATCTTTTAATTATAGATTTCAGTATTTTTTCTTAAAACATACTATTATCTAAAGAAGAGTAGCATAAAGATCTATAACAAATCTTTAATATGCAAAGCAACAAGAGAGTCTAGACAGTTTTTGAGATAAGATCTCACTATTTACCCCAGGCTTGGCTTGAACTTGAGATCTTCCTGCCTTAGCCTCCTAGAGTTATAGGTGCTACCATGCCTAAGTGTAATAAATAGTATTTTGAAATGAAGATAATTGCATATTATTTGCAGTTTTGTACATCTGAGTAGAAACTTCATAGTCATGCAGTCAGTATTGAACCAGAACAAGACAAGAAGAAAAACATACACTTACATACAAAACTATGCACTTACAAGGTGTCAATCAAACTATATAATTCTAAAATTCTTAACTGCTCAAAGCATAATTGAAATGAGATCATTTGTTCTTTTATTTATTTATTTTTTGGTTGGCCTTGAACTCAGGGCCTGGGTTCTGTCCCTGAGCCTCTTTGTGCTCAATTCTAGTGCTCTTCCACTTGAGCCACAGCACCACTTCTGGTTTTTGAGTGGTTAATTTGAGATAAGACTCTCATGGAGACTTTTCTGTCCAGGCTGGCTTTGAACTGTGATCCTCAGATCTCAGCCTCCTGAATAGTTAGTATTACAGGCATGAGCCACTGGTGCCCAGCAGATCATTTGTTCTTAAATAGGCAGTTGTAGAAGCCACATAGTTATCATGTTATAGACTAGACCTTTTGGATTCATATAGATTTGTATATTTTGTGGCCTGCTTATCTTTTTTTGGGGGGGGGGGGTCCGGTCGTGGGCCTGAACTCTGAGCCTGGGCGCTGCCACTCAGCTCTTCAGCTCAAGGCTAGTGCTCTACCACTTGAGCCACAGCGCCACTTCCGGCTATTTTTTTTTCTTTTGCTTATGGGTGCTGAGGAATCGAACCCAGGGCCTCAAGCATGCAAGGCAAGCGCTTTATCACTGAGCCACCTTCCCAGTTCCTGGCCTGCTTATCTTACATTCTGTTTTAATTTGATCATTAAATTTATAACTTGAAATATGGTATTCCAACATGCATTTCTTTTCCATTTCACAATTAGTAGCTTAATATAGATTTGAAATGACTAAGTAGCTAATAAATGGAAGCATTAACCACAGGAAAATCTGATAGTGATATTAAGAATAAGCTTTCCTATCTCAGCTTTGTAGAGGTTTTATTAATATTATGCATCTGTGTCTATTTCAAACAAATATTTTGTTGCAACTTCTGAGTTGCAATTTGTAGCTTGAAATAATACAATTTCTCTCTTGCAAAATGTTCAAAAAATAGTTAAACATTGGGTAAATAAGGAGCACAGAAGCAGCTTTGGTTGCCTTTTGTGCAGTTTTCCTGGACTGTTGCCTTCTGTATATTACCAATCTGTGAAAACCAGATCGTTAATGGTGGTTAAAAATGACCTTTGGGAGCCTGAATATTTGTTCACTATTGTTGCTAATGTTTTCCATCTGGCTAAAAAAAGGCAATCTAGTACTAGATTAAATAAATGTGATTTGACAATAAGCTTCAAATTTTTTTTTGTCGGTCGTAGGGCTTGAACTCTGGGCCTGAACACTGTCCCTCAGCTCTTTCAGCTCAAGGCTAGCGCTCTACCACTGGAGCTACAACACCACTTCCGGTTTTCTAGTGGTTTATTGGCGATAAGAGTTTCATAGACTTTCCTGCCCCAGCTGGCTTTGAACCTTGATCCTCAGATCTCAGCCTCCTGAGTAGCTAGGATTACAGTTGTGAGCCACCGGCGCCCGTCTTTAAGCTTCCAGTTTTTATAAATATTCCATCGGGTTAGAGGCTCATCTTAAACAGATGTCTTCCTGCTTCAGTCTTCTTCCCTGTCTCCCCAGTGCCTGAGGTCCCAAGTATGTAACTACCATGCCTGGTTTGCATTTTACTTTTACAAAATTAATGAATGCATTTGGAAACATCCTCAAATTAAAATGCTATCTTTCCTTCTTTCATTTCTCTTTAAAAAAAAAAAAAGTTGGGAAGCAGGGAAACATAGAGCTCTTAATGATGTAGTGATACAGATGGAAATATATATACATGGGTAGAATATCTTTCTTGAAGGCCTGGCCTCCTATATGTCTTGGGTCAGACTGTAGAAGAAATAACTGAGTGACTAGAAATTCGAAAGTAATGAATAGGTAGGGCATAAAAGGCCTCCTGTGGATGGATGTGACTGAAGGCTATTGCTTTGGGGTGTGTCAACCCTAGTCCTCTGCTGGTGCACCCCTCGACAGGACCAGTTTATTATGACCTACATGGTTTCTGTGAGTTCTGCTCATTTCAGAGGGTAAAGGCAGCATTGTGCACATCAAAGAAATTTTACTGGTATCTAGTGCAACCAGAAACAAAAGGGCCAGAGCTATAAAGTTCTTACTTTCCAAGTCTCTCTAGGGTCCTCTAGCTTGCTCAGGTGAATGTTCTACCCAACCTCCTCATTTAGCCATCAGATAATGAAGTTAAGAAGATGATGGATATGACAATGTACCATGATGCAGTAGATATATATAATAGGTAAATATATAATAGGTAAATAGCAAATGATGGGAGACTAGGATTTACAAAGGAAATCAAACCAAATAGCAAATATCTCTTCCCTCAAATCAGTCAACATCAAGCAACTACAGTAATTACTTTCTCTTAAACACCTCTGGTCAAGGACCTGCAATGGCTCCTCCTAGTTTATATCACAATGTCTACATTAAACTCCTCTTTCAGAGGCTTCAAGGTCTCCCAACACTTTGTCTACCTACTGAGCCAACATGTGTTTATTACCACACAAACCCTTTCTTGTACTCAGGCCTTTATTTCTCTTTTCTGCTGAATGACACTGCTGTCGCTTATTTCTCTTGCCTAAGACTCCTCCTCTCTCATCCTACTCCCATTCCAAATAAGAATGCCATAAAAATACCTGCTCATC